AAAAAACCTTCATGAGGGTTTTTTGCCATTGTTTTTGTGTCTCAAACTGTAAGGTTCTTTGGTGTAAATGTTGCTAATGATCTCATTTTGCAGTGTCACAGGTTGGACACCTCCTGGAGTGATGAGAAATGATCAGATACTAGAACTTCTGCAAAGGCAATTTTTGTGGATGAGCCAATGACTGGAATTGAGAACTGGGGAGGGATCAAGGAAACCCCGCCAAACTCTGTGGATGGAGCATTTCTTTCCTTCCTGACCCACAGATCCTCCATACCCCTTAGGTTTGGACTTTTGTCATCTGCATTACAACTTCCCTACTCAATGAAAGAGATTTAGAAAGTTCTGGCATTCAAAAGAACTGGCTTAGCTAGGTGTGTTAATGAGCATCTCTGATCCCAGCAGTCTGAAGGCTGAGGCAGGAGGATTGTGAGAATATCAGCCTTGGATACATAAAAAGAAATGTGTCCCCCGCCAAAAAAAAAAAAAAAATTAAGCAGAAACAAAACACAAAGAAGAGGCAAATTTAGGGTCAGGGATATGGCTCAGTGATGGAGTTCTTGCCTAGCGTGTTGAAGTCATGAGTTCAACACAGGACACATATGCGCTCTCTCTCTCTCTCTCTCTCTCTCTCTCTCTCTCTCTCTCACACACACACACACACACACACACACGCTCCGCAGGATATACAGCTTGAAAATTGCTTGTGATTTTGCAAATCTAAGGGCTGTGACTTCTGAAGTTAGGACATGATAGATAATGCAGCTCCTCTCCCATTCACTGTGATCTAAAGCACAGCTGTCTTAAGGTTCTGTAATTCCAAAATGATGACACGGGAAACACTAGTCTATTTTCAGGAATACACATGTCAGAAGGCAGCACTGAAATTCAGTGTCGCTAATATAGTAAATTTAGTGTGGCTATGGTAAGTAGACTGAAAGTCTTCTCCATGCGGTTTGAGTCTATTGATTAGAATGGATGGGGGAGGAAGGGAGGTATTGGGAGGGGCTGAGGAAGGGAGCTACAGGGGGGATACAAAGTGAATAAAAAATTAAAAAAGATAAATTGTTGAAAAGAAAAAAAAAAGAGCATTCTTGCACTCTTAGCTTTTGGGATGTAAGCCACAGACACATTTGTTCTCAATCAGCCATGTGCCACTCTGTCAGAGGACTGGCTGTTTTTAGCATTACAAACTCAAACTCTCATTTCACTTGTTCTAGTTTATTCACTTGTTTACTTGCTTAAGGAGAAGAAAAACTATGTGAAGTAACAGTACACAGCAGTGGGCAGCTTCATCAGAAGCTATGACGTCGAGTGGGAAAAACGAGACCATCTGATTTCATCCTAATCCTGTAGGTATTAACATGGTGTTTGCAGGTAGAGCCAAAATCCTGATCCCTGCACAAAAGTGACCTATATTGCTTTCAATTAGATGAGTTAATATTCCTATCCCAAACTAAATCTGCTACCATATATCCATCTCAGCAATATATATATTCATATATATATTTTTATATATTCCTATATATATTCCTATATATTTATATATTCCTATATATATTTATATATATTCATATAGATGCACTTATCACTATGGGTTATGTTTACTTAACTTTTAAAGTTAAATTCCTGTGTTGTTTGTGTGTAGCACCTGTGTTCGAGTACGTGTCCCATACTTAGGGTGTTCTTGCAAATGACAGGAAAGTGAACCACAAGAAGAGATTTAAGAATGAAAACCTGGTACAGATTGACTTTGTCAAACTGGATCAGACTTTGGGGAGTCTAATACCAGTCAGTTTATTGGTAGCATATTTAAAATCCAGTTCAATTTGGGAAAAGGTTTCAAAGCAACAATCAGTCCAATTCTAGGTGTTCTAGGTGCACAATAAAGCTTCAGGTGTGACTACACAGAAAGTCTTTTACAAAGCACACGTGGCCATGAGGGTGGGTTCTATAGCTACCAGGCCTAGAATCTAATGTGGTCTCTGACCAATAGCATAGAGCTCAGCTGGCCAAAAAGTACATGCAGCATCTTCCCTAAGAACAGGTAACTATTTAGGGAGGGAAGAGCCTGGGATAATCATTCTAGGGGATTTGGGTGAGGTCTGCTTCTCTAGCAAAAGGTGGGAGAGGTCTGCCTCTCCAGATAGCAAAAATGTCAGCAGATTGTTAACAAAATCCACTCTTGGCTTTCTGGATGAAACGCTGGTATTTGATTTGGTCTCCTCCATGGAGGAGACAGCCCTGCGTGACTAACATTCCTGGTTCTCTTAGTGTTTCTCTGTGAGTACAAGGACCTCTGTGCCTCCAACACCGTACTGAGGAATGTGTGCAAGGAGCATGGCCTTTGTGTACGTGTTTGAGACATAGGCTTGGAATGGCTGGTCTCAGCCATTTATAAACTAAAGGCATGCTCACAGGCACCTCATTTGCTATCTCTAGGAATTAGCTAACTACTAGGGGGTTGTCTCCATGTTTCCAAGGGCCAAGATATCAAAATATCATGATGAGATGGTGGCAGCATCTCAAGTTGATGAGGCAAAGCCAGCACACCTGGCAATGGTTGGCTTGTGTGGCTGCTAAGGCAAGAAATAACTGTGATCCGGTTGTGTAAGAGAAACGTGGAGGGATGCTAAGGATGACAGTTCCATTCATACAATGTTTACAGGGACAGCACGGAGAAAGGGGGTGGGGGAGATGAATATAAGTTTCTCTGGTTTTTATGAGCACGGCTAGTGAGAATTTTTAAATATGGGAGGAACAATGATGCAACCCTAGGGCTTGGAAGCCTGAGCAGGAGACTCCTGAGTTCAGTGCCATCCTAGGCTGCATAACAAGATATTGTTTCAAAAATATGATTAGGACATTCTAAGTGAAGGCCAGGCAAGGATTACTTGAGGTTAAATGGCTCATTTTAACCTCAAGTTAAAATGATGAAAACAATTTTATCCCTGCTATCTTTAATGCACTTTTCATTAAATACAGATATTCCTTGATCTACAGCACGGTGACTTTTCAATAAACCCATCACAAATTGAAAATATTATGTGAAAATGTTTGATCCTACAAGCTAGCATAACTTAGCCTCAAATGTCCTCACAGCACATATTAAGCTACAGTTTGGCAAAGTCATCTACCACGGGGCCCATTTTATAACAGATCATTGAATATCTCGTATTATTTATGGAATACTGTATTGAAAATAAGGGAATGGTTATACAGATAAGCTTTTGTACCATTGTAAAGTAAAATGCTGTGAGCGGAAGCACTGTGCATCAGGAAGCAGCTGTGTGTAAGATCTGGACACATCAGGAAATTGCCAACGGTTACGGCCCATGTGTAGCTCACATCCTGGCTTTGCTTCTGACCCTGCCATGTCGACAAGCAGGCTATTTGTAATTGTTCTTGAAGATAAGGTCTCACCATGGAGCCCAGTCTTGCCTCAAACCTGAAATGCTCTTGCCTCAGCTTCCCCAGTACTGAGATGTGTCACCATGCTTGACATCACTGGGACTTTTAAAAGTCGCTGTCTAGAATAAATTGCCGTAAACTGACTAGCAATAGTTGGTAAAAGAAGAGGGGGTGGGGAGTAAAGAAAGTGGTGTGAATACTTTAAGCATCCGTTTAACTGAAGTATTCTGGCAAGAAAAAAACAAGTGACTGTTGCTTAGCATATGTAAAGTTCTTGTCCATATTTAGAAGGCTATTGCTTAAATGTAGTGAATTATGTAACTACATTAATAAAACATTTCATTCAAAACCAAAAAAGAATACAAAAGATGAAAACCATGTGCACCCCCTTCCTGTGTACATGGCTCACAAACTCCACTACCCCAGAGATGTCCTTCTACGGTAGGTAAATTCTGTAGCAAATCTCTCAACTATCCGCCTCAACCTTTGTCCATGTGTGAGTAGTGCTACCAAAGCTAGCACCATAATGTTTGTTAGGAAACGTGCGAATGTAAAGGTTACACGCGGGTTCACAAATCACACCAAGAGATCGGTTCCACGTGGAAGGTTTATTAGGGAAAGGGGTAAAGGGGTTGCAGTGAGACGAGGCAGAGAAGAGGGGGGGGCTCCTGTTCTCTTTATAGGGTGACTCAGAGCATGCGGAGATAGTTCCAGGTGGTCAGCAGGTGGTCTGGGTGTCTTCACAAATGCCTGATAACCGGTCTGTCAGGTTTCTTGGAGCTGGCTGTAGAAGTGCCTGCATACTGATCCCAACAATGTTTCCTATGTCTCCTCAGGTACTCTACCCCGTGATAATACTTGACACTGGAACTCCCACTTGTAGCGTGGCTGTCCAAAGACTAACTGGACTAGTGTATGTTCCTCATTTAGGAACCTAAGCTAAAAGCCACAAGAAGAAGTTTCCAGCTAACAATAACGCAAGCTGGAAAGGGCCTGAAAATATTTAAGACTTTGCCAGCCATAAGTAAATCTACCATTCCATCCAAACTCCCTCCCCACTTGAACCCATACCCCACCAAAATACTACAAATGGTTTGTAACATTGCACGCAGTTAAACTTTCAGGATAGTGCTTGCGTTTTAGTTTCTTCTGTTGTCTTTAAAGACAATAATTAACCTACCAGTGAACACGCTGTAATAAAGACCGAGTCAATGAGGACTGAAGTATATAGTATATAATGGCTTTATCTGAATCATCCAAAGGTGTTTTTAAATTTTATGTACGTAAAGGACCTCCAGAATACAGTACAGTTAGCACAAAAGCACGCTATCTCCCCAACAAAGTTCAAGCTTCTAAGTACCTCTCCCGGCCTCGGCTACAAGCTGCGGGAGAACTTCCGGCCGACTCACCTAGGGCTTCCGCAGCCGGCGGCGACTCCGGACCAAATCTGTGACCTCATCGATTGCTTCTGCCTGGGGCAGCCTCAGGCCCGCCGGGATCGTCTCGTCGGGTCTGGCGAGCTAGGCGCGGGAAAGCGAGTTTGAAGCCGGCGGGTTCGCCGAGGTGGCGCGGCCTCCCCCACCCTGACGGCGCTGCGGGCTGCCATGTCGGAGGCTTACTTCCCGGTGGAGTCGGGCGCCCTTGGGCCCGAGGAGAACTTCCTGTCCTTGGACGACCTCCTGATGTCCCAGGAGAAGCTGCCGGTGCGCGTCGAGACCCCCCTGCCGCGCCTGGGCGCCTTCTTCCTGGAGCGGGGCGCGGGCGCCGAGCCGGACCACGCGCTCCCGCAGGTGAGGCGAGCCCGGGGGAGGCCTCGGGGGGCGCGGGGAGCCGCACTTATTCCCGAAACTTTCCGAAGCCATCGGCTTCCCGAACGCCGAAGGACCGGCTCCAGCTGAGCACCTCGGGGTCTTAGTTCTGTTCGTGGCTTCCGTCAGACTGACTTGAGGTTTGTAAGTCGGGGAACTGCCAGTTGTCGTGGCATTCTTCAGAATTCTAGCAGTGTCTGCAGCCTGTTTCCGAGGACCGAAACGGGGTAGGGGTGGGGAACATTTTTATCCTGTCACTTAGGTAACTTAACCTGAGCCAGGGTATGTTCATGCTGGTTTAACCAACTCAGCCCTCTGTAGAAGGCTGCTCATACAGTTTTCAGTGTTCGGAATGAATATGGCAACTGCAGTTCCGTGCATTAAACCCTTTGCCCTCCCATAAACCTAAAAAGCCAGGGTCCTTCAGTATGTGATGAACTGGGATTCGAACCTAGGGCCCTATGGATTCAACTAGGAGTTTGTCCCAAGACCCATAACTTGTTATGGTTACTTTCATTTCCTGTTAACACTTAAGTTTTATTTAGAAAGGGTGTCTGTATGATGTTTCTTTTTAGGTACTTTTTCTCAAAACACCAAATTTTGAGAATCAGTAGTACCAAAAGATTTCCAACAACAACAAAATAGTAGGCGCATTTTTGCTTCCTGGGCCGCTTTTCAGCTTCACAGAGCAGTGAGTCTTCAAAATCGACCTGCGTGGTTTTGAAGACTATTCCAGTGCTGGGGGTGGAACCTGGTGCTTTGCACATGCTAGACAAGCTTGCAGCCACTGAGCTCTATACCTCAGAGTCAGACTTCTTGACTTTGGAAAGTGTTGGCTTTATTGACTCCCCGTTATCTTCATAAGAATTTATTCTTTCTAAAATTTATTTCATTTATTTATTTTCCGAGACAGGGTTTCTCTGTATAGCTCTGGCTGTCCTGGAGTTTGTTTTGTAGACCAAACTGGCCTCAGTGATTCACCTGCCTCTGCCTCCCTAGTGCTGGGATTAAAGGACTGTGCCACCACCACCTGCCTAGGATTTAGTTTTTATACACTGCTGAACTTAGAGATGCCCAGGCTTGGCTCTTATTTTTTTTTTTTTTTAGTTTACCTCATGTCCTTTTTCTAGTCCAGCATTTTAAAAAAGAATAAAAAAGTAATAACATTTAGTAGTCATGTTTCCCTGGGTTTTTCTTGTCTGTTGTCAGGTTTTTTGTTTGTTTCTAATGACAGTTTTCTGAGTATTATTCCTCAAGGGAGGTATGTTTGGTATTTTACTCATGATCAGACTGGTTTGTTGGTTTGAGGGAGATCCCAGGGGTCAACTTGCATTTTTACTACATCATATCCACTTAGTGTAGTTGACCCTATTGTAGATTCTGATCACCAGACTGAGGTAGGATTTTTCAGGTTTGCCATACTGTTTGGAAGTTATTACAGACAACCACTCTGAAGGAGTAAGAGTGTCTTGCTCTACTTCCTGAGGGATAAAGTGTCTACATAAAGTATTTGGAATTCCTCTGCAGCAAAGAATTAGGTTTGAAGATTTCTATCTCAGATATAAAATTTCATAATTTTCCTGTTGATTTTGATATATGCTTTGAACTCTGCACTGCCACCACCTACAGAATGCTGGGATTACACATATGTGCCCCTACACCTGCCTAAAGGCAGAGTGAGTGGGGCCTGGAGACCAGTTCTGTAACACTACTTAAGAGGCTGAGGCAGGAACTGCAAGTCCACAGCCTGCGTGGGCTACCGAGGGCTACAAAGTAAGTTTGTGGTGTCTCAAAATAAAAAGTAGAGGGCTTGGGGATGTAGCTCAGGGCTAGTGTTTGTCTCAAGTGCTACACAAAAACCAAATGACCTTACCACCACCTGTTTCTTAAGTTGTTGTATTGTTCAGTTCTGGAATTTTCCATTTGATATTTTTAATTTACATTGAAGTCAGTGCCTAATTACTCTGCTACTTGGTTGCAAATACTGGGCTTCCTCCCTTCTTTCTCCTATCTTGGCCACTCACGCCCTGGCTTGGCGACCTTGCTCTGAGTGTTTGTTTCCAGCCCTGGAAAGTTTATTGACTGATCTACCACTCTACCCCTAAAAATTGCCTGTTGTAGGTGACTATTAATCTTTACTATTGGTTTATGTTTTACTAATGCAGCTGTTAGTCCTAAACAGCTGTATGGCCAAATCACACAGAGCAATGATTTATTTAATTAACCTAGAACACAATGCTATGCAATTGTTGTTCCATCTTAAACTTCCAAGCCCTCATAGTTTCATACCATTTAGATTTCCTACATCATACTTGCTTTTAGTGAAATTTTAGGTCCAGTCCATCTCTCCACGTCATTCTAAAATCTCTCTTCCAGCTCTGCTCTCCCAGCTCTCTCCTGCCTGTCTCCTCCTCTGCCTCCCACCTTCCTCTCCTCTGGCTCCTCCCTCTCTTCCTGCTTCCTTTCCATTGCTCAACATTGTGGCTTGTTGTTTATTTTGGCATGTTTACACAAAGTTGAGACAGGTGATGCTTAGAATAAGTATCACAATTCAATGTCCAGATTGAAACCAGAGAGTGGGGGAGAGAAATCAGCATTTGAATGAACAAGGGTAAGGTGTATACATTCCAAAAGAACATTATACCAACAATTGCCCCTCCCTCTACAGCAGTTCTCCCTTATGAGATGGAAGTTTTAATCTAGCTATTTTTGCATTAAAAAAAAGATTCATTTTCATTATGTGTATGCCTATATGTCTGTGCACATCAGTACAAGGTGCCTATACAGGTTAGAGGCGTCAGAGCCCTCTGGAGCTGGAGGTAGAGGCAGTTGTGAGCTGCCCAGTATGTAAGAGTGCTAAGTGCTCTTAACTTCAGAACCATCTTTCTAGCCCTTTTATGCTTCTTTTTAATTTCTGGTCCATCATGTCATCTCATTTGTCATGTTGTTTTCCATTTCTTTTTGAAAACAGGACATTCTGCCATCTCTGAACCCATGATGTGGTTTGGGAAAGGGAATGCCACCTGACTTGAAACTGACTCCATTTTACTCTATTCTACCAGCATCCAGATCGGTACTTAGCGTATAGTAGACCCCCAGCAAGTGCTTATGTACCATAGATGGAGAATATTCAAAGAATGTAAAAAAGATATATTCATTTGCTTTTGAGAACCACCCTTCTGTTTTTGTTCTTTGTCATGTTTTTGTTGTTAGGATGATCTATTTTCTGTCTTGATAGCTTAAATCCTCAGCCCAGGCTGATCTCATAGAAACTGAGAGTAGGACAGTGATGCTAGAGGCTGGGAGAGTGGGGCAGGATTAGCAGGTATTTCCTTGTAGTTAGACTTAAGGAGTTCTGGTGTGCTGCTCAATAATAGAGTGACTATAGCTTATAATGAGGCACTTGCTGTTTGAAAAACTGAAGAAAGGATTTTTGAATGTTTTCACCTTAAAAAAATGATGTTTGAGGAGATGGGTGGTTAAAACTTCACTTAAACATTATACAAATCAGCTTCTATAGTACCCCATACACATACCATTTATCATACCAATTAAGAATATAACCCTGTTTTGAAAAACAAAGGGGGAAAAATAAGTAAATACGGGTCTGGAGATGTGGCCGAGTGGGTCAAGTTCTTGCGCGTTAGCCTGAGGATCTGAGTCTGGCTCCCAGAACCCACATAAAAAGCCAGGCATGACTGTGTCTCTAACTCCAGCAGGGGAAGGGCTAGGGCTGACTGTTGTGTCACCAGAGCCCACTGACCAACTAGTTTACCTAGGCTGAAACAGCAAGTGCTGGTTCAAGAGAGCTCTCCCAAAACTAAGAAGTATCTGAGGAAGACATTGGAACATGAGCCGCTGGCCTCTCCACACACACCATGTTCACCAGGTAACAGTGTATGCTCTCCCCAACCTCCCCCTTAAAACATGACGAAGAACAAAAACAGAAGGGGAGGTTCTCAAAAGTAAATGAATATAATTTTTTATATAATTCTTTGAATGGTCTCCATCTATGCTACATAAGCACTTGCTGGGGGTCTGCTATAGGCTAAGTACCAATCTGGATGCTGGTAGAACTAATCTGTGGTTCATTTCTTTGGCTAACTGCACAGTCACTTCCCCAGTAGAAGAGGCAGTATTTCCCAGATAATATTCATTTCCATTTTTTCCCCACATATACTGACTTTGCCTTTTGTATTTCAATTTCATGTTCTTGTCTGGTGCAGGGTACAAAACTTGAGCTCCCCTTGTGGCTGGCTAAAGGACTCTTTGACAACAAGCGGCGCATCCTTTCAGTGGAACTTCCCAAGATTTATCAGGAAGGATGGAGGACTGTGTTCAGTGCAGATGCTAATGTTGTGGACCTCCACAAAATGGGGCCTCATTTCTATGGGTTTGGCTCCCAACTCCTGCATTTTGACAGTCCAGAGAGTGCAGATATATCCCAGTCTCTGCTGCAGGTAAGTAGTGTGAAGTATCAGGCTCTTCATATCTTGGGAGCCAGGGCTGGCAGCTCCCAGATGTTAGTTTCACCCCATGTCAGGTTCTCTAAAGGTGGGGCGGAGTGAATAATGGGGGCTGAGCGCTGAAGAGCTGGCTCAGTGGTTAGGAATACATACTGCTCTTCCTGAGAACCCAGGTTCAGTTTCCAGTGCCCATGTCAAGTGGAAGCCACCTGTAAATCCAACTTCAGGATGTCTGACACCCTTTTCTGGTCTCCATAGACACCTGTGGACACAGGCATACATACATAAAAATAAATCTTAAAACAGTGTTAAGGCATTAAAAATTTCTTAAGGTTATACTTTAGTTACAACTTTTCTCCCTCTATACCCTGCCATATGTCCTTCCCGACTCTCTTTCAAATTCATTCTTTTTTTTCCCCCTAATTGTTATTGTATGCATATACTTATATACATCTGTATTTCTAAATATAACTTACTCAGTCCATATAATGTTACTTGAATATATGTTGTCGGGGCTGAGTGTTTCAAAAAAGGAAAAAGTACTCGTGAGCTCTCAGAACAATAAAGAGCTTTTAGTTGGAGAAGAAAAAAACAATTAAGGGGATTTATTAGATTGGCTTACATGATATTGTCTTTGTAGTCCAACAATGGAAGGCTCACACAAAAGAGATTAAGAATCCAGTAGTTGCTCAGACAAGACTGGATGTCTAGTCCTAATTTAGTACTGAAGACCTCGTGGATTTTTGGAGAGCTGCTGGCTAAAGAATGCCACCCCAACAGGATAGGTGAACTTGCCAGCAGGAGTGAGGGCAAACTGGAAAGGAATTTTCTTCTTCCCTGTTTTTATCTGACCTGCCATCATAAGGTACTGCCTTTATTTAGAGTGGGTCCTCCCATTTTAAATGAAGACAATCCTTCAGGAGTGCCTAGCAGCTTGGAATGACTCCTTATCCGATCAGGCTGACAACTGAGATTAGCCATCACACTTAGGGAAGTGTGTGATCCATAAACTTGGCTTGTTGGTATTCTGGGGTGATCTGCGTTTATATTGTGTCTTCCGGGTTTTTTTTTTATTGAGCCAGGGATATAGATCAGTGGTCCAGCGCCTGCTTGCTATATGTGAAGCCATGAGTCAAGCCCTAGCATCACAGAATAAAACCCATAAAGGTTTACATATTAGATCCTGGAAGAGTGAAAGGGGGAACTAAGGGTGGATGTGATCAAAATACATTGTTTACATGTGTGGAATGATCAAGGACAAATAAAAGATACTGTATTTTAAAAAGAAAAACAGTTAATCCAACTGTTGTCAGTCACCTGACCAGGAGTCTATCCCAAAGGAAAGCTTGTTCACCTGAAGACATGCTGGGGTGGGGGAGGGGAATAATAAGTTAATGTATACATCTTTCCCAGATGCTTCTCCCATGGTAGATCTTTTTCTTTTGGCTACTGGCCAAAAAGCCTAAGCATGTTTTTCCTAGGGTCTCTCACTCTTTTTCTGAAGTCCTCTCCACCTTCTGCTGTACAGCTCCTTGCCAACTTCCATTGCAAAAGGCATGGCTATCTCTCTCCTCTCCATCTTGCTTCCTTAGGCATCTGCCAGGATCTACAGCTTGCCTTCCCTGCTGTTTTTCTCTCACACTTTAGTAGAAATGTCCCCTGGCTTCAAAACAAAGTCTTATGTAGTATTTAATACTTGTATACATTGTATAATGTTTATGTCAGGTTAAACGTATGTATCTCTTCAATATTCGTGTGTGTGTGTGTGTGTATGTGGCATGTTTATGTGTGTGCTCATGTTAAATGTGTGAGTGCTGGTGCATTCTTGCCACAGCACACGTGTAGTGGTCAGAAGACAGCTTTGGTGACAATCCTCACCTTTCAAGGTCTCTGTTCTGCTGTTCACTATTGAGAATGCCAGTCTGATTAGTCAGTGAGCTTCTAGGAATCTCTCGTCTTCACTTCACATCTTACCATAGAAGCCGTGAGATGATAGATGCGCAGTACTGTGCCCGGCTTTTACGTGGGTTCTAGGAGTTCAGACTCAGGCCCTCATGTTTGCATGGCAAGTTCTTTGCCCACTGAACCACATCCCAGCCCCTTAAGTTTTTTGGTTTTTGGTTTTTTTTGGTTTTTGTTTTTTTTTCACGGCAAAAAAAAAAATTCAAAAATTTTTTAGCATCTTGAAATGTACAGCTCATTATAACTTTGTATGTTAGGACTCCAGAAGTTCTTGTTCTTATCTGAATCATTTTAAAAATATGTGACCTGCCTGCTCCTCCTTGTATTTATTACTTCCTAAGAATTGGAACCATCAGGAAATTGAAGAAAAGAGACAAAGGTGATGGTAGCTTCTAGGTGATGGGCACATTGTTAAACTGTTCTGGCTCAGTTGCTGGTCTGGACTGGAGCTCCTTTTGGAAATACTTGAATTATTTGTTTGTTTAGCGCCCCTTCTTCTGGAGTTAATCTGTGATTTACTAAAGCTGTATGGCCTGTCTTAGCATCAATTGTTCACCTTTATGACGTGTAACAATAACATCAAAATCACAGTTACAGTAACAAGATGTAGTGCATGTCAGTTAATATTAGATAAACAGTACTTTTCTGTTGTGTTAAAACCCCATGACCAGATCTTCTTATAGAAGAGTTTCTTTTGGGCTTACTGTTCCAGAGGGATAACAGCCGATCATGGCAGCAAACAGCCATCATGGTTACTGGAGCAGGAAACTAAAAACTCACATCGTTTACAGTAAGCACAAAGCAGAGAGTACTGGGAATGGCATAAGGCTTTGAAATTTCAAAGCGCCCTCCCACTGACATAATTCCTCCAGCAAGTTTGCATCTTCTAGACCTCCTGCAAACTAGACCAACTGTGTACTAAGTTTTCAAATACATTAGCCCTTAGGAGACATTCTCATTCAGACCACTGCAAGCTGTAACTAAATAGATATATAAAACAATCTTATACAACGTTATCATCCTTTATGGTGTATTAAAATTTAACTTCTTTTTATTTTAATAACAAAAAATGATCTTTTGTGTCTCTTGAACAATAATAACTAAAAGACTTTAATTCCTCTTTTTTAGTTTTATAAGAACTGTTGGCTCAAGGGCTGGAGAAGATGCCTTATAGATTAAGAAAGCCTCTTCTTGTAGAGGCCTTGAGTTAGGCTCACAGCAGCCACATTGGGTGGATCTCAGTAGCCTGTAACTCCAGCTCCAGGGGACCCAGGGCCTTCCTCTGTCCTTCATAGGCACCTCAGCAACACAGTGAGAACCTGTCTTAAAAAAAGAAAAAACTTGGGGCTAGTGGGTATGATGGTGCACACCTTTAGCCCAGTAGTCAGGAGGCAGATGGCTCGCTGTATGAGTTCAAGGCCAGCATGGTCTACCCAGTTAGATCAAGTATAAAAAATAACAACAAAACTTTGGGTTTAGAGGGATAGCTCTGCAGTTAAGAGCACTGGCTACTACTCTTCCAGAGGACCTAGGTTTGATTCCCAACACCCATATAGCGGCTCATAGCCCTCTGTAATTCTAGGTTCAGGGAGATCCAATACTGTATTATGGCCCCCACAGGAAAGTGGTACACAGACATACATGCAGGCCACACACTCATACACATAAAGAAAAAAAATTGACTCTTATTCCGCAGCTGCCTGATATCACAAAATTTAAAAAAAGAAAATATTGCTATCCATTCAGTAAAAAAAGCTCATACACAGACTACAGACCAGAAAATTGAACTCAAGTTCATGAAACTCTAGAATAGAAAGCTAAAAAAGAGGAACACATGTTTGTTTTAGTAAGACTTGGACTTTGAATTTCTGTTTGTTTCAGAGGGGTTTTCTCAGTTACTCAGGACGGCCTATAACTTGCTCTATGTTCTAGGCTGGCCTGTGCTTCGGATCCTCAGCCCCCTCAGTATCAGGGATTACATTCTGTGCCAATAGGCCTGACTCACAGGACTTGTTCTTGAATTAAAGTTTTCTTTTCTTTTTTTAAACATGAATTGTGTGTTTTCTTTCCCCATCACTGCTTGTAAGTGTTTTAGAGTTGCTTCTAGATTAAATGATTTAGCTGTGAGATAAGAAAAAACTGGAATAGGGGCTTGTGATTTTTGCTCAGAGCCCAATGGAAAAATGATTTTATATATCTCCACCCTGCTCTTAGACTGAAAAAAAACAGAAACCAAATTCAGTTAAATCCAAGCCCCATCTGGTTGAAAGCTATTGGTTATAATTCCTGTAGCCATTGTTGCCAATAACAACAATGGGAAATGCTTTTCCAGAGGCCTATTATATGGCAGCCTCTTGCTGTGTGTTTTACTTTTGTTACTTCACTGATTTTTATAACAATCCACTGAATTTCCATAACAACCTATTTTACTATAAGAGAAAGAAAGGCTTTCTTTAGTAGAGGATTCTCAAGCCTTCTCAGTGAGCCCTGAGACCAGATTCTTTGGAGCTGTCTAAATGTTCCAGTATAGGGGCTGGACAGAAGTCTCAATGGTTAAGAGCACACACGGCTCTTTCAGAGGACCCAAGTTCAGTTCCCCATACCCACTTCTGTTGGCTCAAAACTACCTGTAACTCCAGCAAGCAACATGAGGGCACATGCGTTCACATCCACATACACATTTGGAATAATTTTTTAAAATAACAATAATGCCAGGTTGTGGTGGTGCATACTTTTAATCCCAGCACTTGGGAGGCGGAGACAGGTGATTCTTTAAGTTCCAGGCCAGCTGAGGCTACCTAGTGAGACCCTGTCCAAATAACTAAGTAAGCAAATACACAAACCTTTAAATGTTGCATAAACAGTACGTCTAAGGGCCAGCAAGGCTTCAGAGGTAAAGCACTGGCAGCCGAGCCTGATGACCTGTGTTAGGTGGGAGAAAGGACTCTCCCACAAGTTGTCTTCTAACCTCTGCACACACACGTGGTGTTACGGAGTGTGCCCTCTGCCTCCCCCAGAAGGTGGATTAACAAAGGGTTTCAGTGGGTCCAGCTTTTATGGGATGTGAAATTGGCCCTGATTCTCGAATTACTCTTCTTCAGACTTTTATTGGACGGTTCCGCCGCATCATGGACTCCTCCCAGAATTCTTACAATGAAGACACTTCAGCATTGTTAGCCAGGTTAGATGAGACAGAGAGGGGCTTATTTCAAATAGGGCAGAAAGGCCTGAATGACTTTCAGAGTTGGGAAAAGGGTCAAGCTTCTCAGATCACAGCTTCCAGCCTTGTTCAGAATTACAAGAAGAGAAAGTTCACGAATATGGAAGACTGAAATCAGAACAGAACTGCAACATGTGGATTTAACTCTGTGTCCTTGATAAGACCTAGTTAACTTCACAGGAGACCTAGTGTGTGCTGCTTCCGGGCTTTAGCCTTCAGCAGCCTCAAAGCTTGGACTATCTGGGGGCAGTTGTGGATGCCCTTGACCCTGTTGGTCTTTCTGGACTGTAGCACTGGCCATTCTCACAGCATAGGTCTTTTGGCCCAGGAATGCAGCTGAAGAGAGGCCAGAGTGCATCTGAAATAAGAGTCACAGACACATATATTCAAGTTGGAGCTGGGATTCCTCAGGTGTCTGGTCTGTTGGCTGCAAAGTGGGTCATCTCTGCCCGTTCACAACTTTCTCTTAAGCTTATATGCCTTGTCTTCCTCATGGTTGGACAAAGGACAGCAACCTCACCATGCTGCCTGCCTGCTGAGACTTACCCCAATTTCTAAAACAGGAAATTGAAAGAAAAAGAGAAAGTCAGATGAAAGGAGATGACCTGGAGCTTTTGTGCCCTGTAATCACATTCCTTCATTCTACCCAGAGGGGCCATGTACTTGTGTTTATCAGTGGTCTTTAGAGCATGGGCACACTCCATCTAGAAAAGCTGTCAGGGACGTGTTGGGAATTGCAAAGTAGCTAGCTATTAAAGGGTGTTTATCAGGTTGTAAAGAGCCCTAGCTTTAAAACAAACAAACAAACAAAAAACAGCCTGGCAAGTGTTAGTAGAAAAGATGTCTTTACATTTGCCCAGGAAATACTGCAACATTAATGCAAATAGGACCCCTGACCACCTACTGGGAATCTGTTTAAACTTGCACCAAACTGAGAGGGACAGGTTTTCCAGACCCTAAGCTGAGTAAAAAACCTGATTTCCTAGGGCCTTTTGGATCGTGGACAATCTCTCCACACCACTGGTCACCCTTGGCATCTTAAGAGTTACTGGAAAATAACTTCATTGTAATTATGGAGAGATTTAGGTGTCCAGGTGACAGATATTGTAATAAAAACTGAAAATAACAGACATGCATTTAAATGCATATCTTAGCATGAAATTGTTTTTTATCAGTTGACTTTCATTCTAAATAAATGATGGGCTTTGTATTTTATACCTGTTGTGTCTGGTTGTTAGGCTTCCGGGAATCAGCAAGCCAAGCACGGGTTCTTTGATTGTATCCGACTATAATGCTCAAACCTGTGTTTCAGCAACTACACTTCTGTTTGTACCATGTGCCTGAACACCTAGAACATGCAGTGGGCGTGTGCTGTGCCCTAGGAAGATGACACCTGATTTCACAGGTGGCTTTGTTTTTATAGATAATACCAAACTGTTGACATTTTCTACAACAAAACAAAAAACATGAAACATTTCCTCAGGGGCACATATACAGAATTTATTTTAAATGTGTGGGTTTTGAGCTGGTTTTTCGTTATATATGTCCTTCTAGTCTGTCAGGGTGTTCCTTTTCCTGGAAACCACCCCTCCCCAGTTCAGGTTTTTAAGTAACTTTAGTGTATTCAAAAAGTTGGGGGTTCCTGCCCCCCCAAAAAAAATTTAGTAAATTGCTTCATTAAAGTGCTTTTAAAATTCAGAGAGTGAATGTGTGCCTTTTCCCCTTAAGGGCTCTCTTTTTTAAGTAACTGACCATAATTACTGACAAAAGATTTCACTCCTCAGGGTTTCCCCAGGGACACACTGGGCTGTAAGAAGAGTCGGGCAAGGCTGTCTCTGTTCTTTCTGCTGTCCCTGACCTCTCAATTTTGGACATTTCCATGCTTAGCCCTGCGAGCTGATGACTCCCACATCATCAGCTGAGCTCCAGCTCAGCTCTTGCCCTCCAGTCCTAGATGTGTACCCAGCTACCTGCTTAGTGTCTACTGGAGCATGTGACAGATTGGATCGGATCGTAGTCAAGACAGAGTTCCTAGTCCATCCTTTTGGCCTTTTTCATCTCTATTGATGACTGCTTATCTTGTTGCTCAGGGTAAAAACAAACAAACAAGTTCGTGTATTTGGCCTTTCCTCTCGTGCTTCAACTCTCATAGGCATACCTTTAAGTAACTGACCACCTGTTCTACTGACAATGCTGTCACCTAACTCCCTCCCCACATTCACCCTCCACCTTCAGACTGTTCTCACCATACTCTGATGGTCTGGTCCAAACATCAGATCTATCAACATCTTCCCATCTGAGTGGAAAAGGGCACCCCCTCATCCTAGCACTATTTTTTTAAAACACACACAAACACCTTCTTTAAGCCCACTGACCCAATAATGGCCTTTCTTACTGCTTTTATAGCAGGAATAATCTGTTCCTTTATTTTTGTAATCAAATCAACCATTTTATTGTCAGTTACATGCTTTGTAGAAAAGTGTGGAGACCGGCTCAGGGCTGTGAAAAAGGACAGGGTTTGTACACGTTGCTCTATTTACAGGCGGTTGTGGGCGCCCCCTTCAGGCGCAGCAGCTGACTTGTCTGAAGCCTCTTTGCAGATGCAGCCCTGGGAGCACTTCGCACAGCCTACGGAGGAGCAGGAGCTTTTCTTGCAGGAGGTGCATTTGCAGGAGCAGCATACATCTGTGACAGGAACAGTTGGGGTCCATGGCTAATGGAGGCAGTGGTTGAAGATCTATGAGAGACTGGAGGTGTTGGAGAGCCATGAGTAGGCGTAAAGCCTGTTCCTTATTTTACATAAAGATTCCACGTTCTCCCTAAGAATGCTGAGCCTCTCACAGGTACTCATTTCCCATTAGCACCACTGAAGCAACAGACCGCTGTGTATGAAGTAGTCACACAGGAATATGAGATGTTAAACATCTCCAAAAGCTCATGTAGCTCATGCCTAGCAGTCAGGAGGCCTGGGTTCAGTCCTTAGTACTATTAAAAGAAAGTATATGGGATTTCTTGTTCTGTCACCATCCTTGAAGGAATCTCAAGATAGCTCTTTATCAGTATTCTTGAAACAGTGCTGGGTCATGCCAAGATGGACCTTGGCAAAGAAAAGTGGAAACCTTACCTGTGTTTCTGAAAGTGGGTGTGCTTGTGTTGAAGGGGAAACTAGGTACTTCAAGGGTCTTGTAGAACAAAATGTAGACCATGTGGATATGAGATGACGGTAAAGGTGCTTGTTGCCCAGCCTGACAGCTTGAGTCCAATCCCCAGGATGCAATTGGTGGAAGGAGGGAACACGCTCTTTTAGATTGCTCTCTGACCTCACATGCACCAAAGTCCGTGTGTGTGTTTACACACAAGCTATATTTTAAATTTTTAAAGATGAAATAAATTATGCTGTATCATAATTTCAACATTTGTTAACTACTAAAGGTTAGCTTTTTAACAGAGTACATGTACAGTTTTCTAAACAGTGGTTAAATGGGACTGGAGAGATAGCTCAGTCAGTAAGTGCTTGCCTTGCAAATATGACGACCTTAGTTTGATCTCCAGAAGCCATATGAAAACACTGGGCATGGTGGCTGTACACTTAGAGCCCTGGGAAGGCTGAGTAGGCAGATCCTTGGCCTCACCCAGCACATAGCCTTGCCTGCTTTGCAAGCTACAAGCCAGTGAGAGACTCCAAAAAGGTGGACGGTATCTGAGGAATGACACTAGCATTTATCCCGTAGTTTTCATACTTATGCGCACCTACACACACATACCCATATACACATGAATACTCAAGCATACACATAGAAAAATAATAAAATTCTCTAGACGAGCAGTTTTCAACATGTGGATTGGCCCTTTGGGAGGTCAAATGATTTTTTTCACAGAATTCGCATACCAGATATTACATTATGATTTATAACAGCAAAATCACAGTTAAGAAGCAGCAATGAAGTAATTTTATGGTTGGGAGAGGTCACCCCAACATGAGGAACTGTATTAAAGGTTCACAGCATTAGGAAGGTTGAGAATCACTGCTCTAAACCTAAGGAAAGCTCTCAGGGTTTCTGTTTCTGTGAGGAGACACTATGATCACAGTAACTCTTAGAAAGGAAAACATTTCATTGGGGCTGGCTTACAGTTTGGAGGTTGGGTCTGTTGTCGGCATGGCGGCGTGCAGACAGGCTGAGAGTGCGACATCTGAAACCTCACAGCCTGCCCCAGTGACACATCCCCCAGCAAGGCCACACCTCCTAACAGTGCTACTCCTTATGAGCCTGTGGAGGCCACCATAGTCTCTCAGAGTTGGGATTCATTGCTAGCTGTTGATACTGCCTCATGAATGATCTTCCTTTATTAATAGTAGTGAACAAGGGGCTGGAGAGATGGCTCAGTGGTTTAAGAGCACTGGCTGCTCTTCCATAGGACCCTGGTTCAATTCCTAGCACCCAAATGGCAGCCCACAACTGTCTGTAACTCCTGTTCCAGGGGATACAATACCCTCATAAAGATACATACATGCAGTCAAACACCAATGTACATAGAATAAAAATGAATAAATAGGGGCTAGAGAGATGGTGCAGCGGTTAGGAGCACTGTCTGCTCTTCCAAAAGTCCTGAGTTCAATTCCCAGCAACCACATGGTGGCTCACAACCATCTATAGTGAGATCTGGTGCCCTCTACTGGCATACATGCAGACTTTGTACTGTATAAATAATAAATCTTTAAAAATAAATAAATACATAATGGTAGTGGACAAATTGTACAGTGAAGCAAGGGCCAGTCGGCAGAGTCACTGTACTGGTTACTCTTCTTACTGCTGCGAAGGGTTTATTTTTGACTCAGATTTTTGAGGAGATTGGGTGTAGACATGGCAGCAGGCAGCACTGTGGTCATGGGGACACACAGAAGTCACCTCTTCATATCAGCAGAACAGAAACGAAGCCAAGACAGGAAGTAGAGCCTGGCATTAAAGCTCAAGACCAGCCCTCATTGACCTGCTTCCTGCAGTGAGTCCCTGCTGCCTGAAGACTCAATAATGTCCCAAAATAGCACCATCAAATGGGGACCAAGAGTCCAGAGACATGTGGGGCATGTCCCAGGGAAACAAAACCATCGTATTGAGAGCAAACGACGGAGCTGATGGGCCCAGCCTTCTTTGGTTTGAGCATTTCATGGATTTTTCTAGCCTTCTGCTTGTCTGCCTAGTTAATTAAGCAAACAGCGCAAACCAGACAGTTTGCTTGGCAAGTAGCAGCATTCTCCAGCTAGCCCTGAAGGCAGGATGGGAAGACAGGGAAACTTACAGGGATGCAAGAGAAAGAAGTCCCTAATCTTGGAGTTTGGTTGAAGTCCTTTGTCCAGATATTTAAGGACTAAGGTACAACCAACAAATTTGCTTTGAAGATTGCCTACAGAGATAATATTCCCTTTTCTAAGACAGAACCTCAGAAAAGTATATTTAAAACAGCAAATAAAATAACAAAAAACACACTTCCAAAGTACCTTACAATTTCTTTTACAGAAAGAAAATACTTGAAGAAAAATAAATACACCAGCTTGTATTTTTTATTTGTTTCTAGAACATTGTTTAATCTTCAAATCTTATTTAAGTTATTCTATGTTCTTTGAGCAGTGTACCTTCTAAAACCACAGAATTATAGACACCCAAACGTGACTTTCTTATAAGTTTACCCGTGTATCAGGTGTGGCTGCCCTTCCCTGTCCCAAGAGTCTCCTCTGTCTCTAGGATACATACTAATGTCATTTTTTAGGCATCACTCTCTAAAATGTCCACACTTAAATTGAAGCATGTACTGTTGTTCTGTATCTTTACTTAATAAACTCACTGACCTTGCTTCTCTCTGGCTTATCCTGAAATTTTTTCCTGTTTGTGGTCAAGGATCCAGCATGATTTGGGTGGTGGTCTCTTAGGAGGACACTCCATATGGTCTGGCAGCAATGCTGGGCCGGTCTTCCTGCTGATAGCTCCACTATCCCATTGACTGCCTTCTCATCTTGAGAAATGGCACATGGACCTTTCTGGCCCCAGAAGGTCTCCTTCAGCCTGCTTTTCCAAAATCAAAGTCAGAATAAATAAAGGTCATTATTTCATTAATGGAAATAATTTCAGATTTATAGAGCAATTGTAAACAAAGGACAGGAGAGTTTTCCTGTGTTCTTTCCCTAACATCTTTAGTCATGG